ACAAATGTAGTGAGTTTGATTCCTGTGTATTCCTTTCAGTAAAGCCTATGTTTAGTCCCTGTGTAGTATCTTAAAAAAAGGCATTTGCAATGAATAAGTCATATGTTATACACAATTCTGCCATGTAATCTCTGGCCTCATTTATATAACCAAGGCTGTATTTTCAAACCACCAGCCCTTCTTTTCTTTTTTAATTTTATTTTATTTTAATTTTATTATTTTTGTGTGAGTGTACCATCAAATCAGATCTGACTGGTACAGGAGGAGATTAGATTGTCCCTCCTTCCCCTGCAGACCATCTGGTGGATTTGAACCGTGCGCCTCTGGGATTGTAGTTGCAGCTCCTTACCACTAGGCCACCAGAGCTCCCCTCCTTCTTTTCAACTTTTGCATTCTAATGATTAGTTATTATTAATGCATCTTGATTGCATCATTGACCAAATTCAGACTGCAGAAGTTGATAGAAATCCTTAGTTTCTTAATTTTGTAGCTTTAGTAGTGGTTGTGTAAATTTGAGTAATAGTCTTTTTTAAATTAACAGATCTGCTTTGAATGTGTATGGATATTATATCTCTAACAACATTAACTTTAGGATAGATCTTGAAATGTTTTCTTGTTGACAATAAATGCTACATGATTGCCTTCAGTTTAGCATTGCTTGTACGAAGAGCAAGGGCCGCAGGGGACCACCATGGCTGACCTTTACTGACTTCACGAAAGGGAACTGTCCTCATCAACAGCATCAGTAACACAAAACCAATTCTTATGAGGTCAGACACGTCCCCCATGCTTTCGCACCTCTTTCTGCTCATCTCAACACCAATCTTACTACTTTTTTTGGGTCCAGAATCCAATGTGATAGCTTGCAGACCACACGGAACCATGTTGGGGAAGTCAAAAGGTTATAATCCCGGTTAGTCGCAGGATATAGTCAGAATGACTTCCAAAATGTGCTCGCAGGCTTTTCAGCCTTGAGCCTCATGGCTTTAGGCCAATGTTATAAAGTTCTCAGTCCTGCAAATTATGGCCCCCTAGTTGTCCAGTAAACTTGGGCAGAGTCTCAGCTCCAGTTCCAAAGGTGTAGCACTCCCAAGGTCCCATCTCACATCAAGTCCCCATTTCGGCCATGGTTTCTGCTGCCGTAGATGTAGCCAGAGCAAGAATATCTAGCCCTGAATGGTGTCCTGCATTGTTTTGTAGCTGCTGCCTTACTGGACAGGGGAAGTGCTAATTCTTCTGCTGCTGGATTATTCAAATTGATGGCAGAACCAACCAGTCCCCTTCTGGATTTGAAGGAAGCTGTTCCCCTTGTGGACAGGCTAACATGCCCTATTTACATAGTCCCACCCATCTACATGACAAAGTCAAACTATGGCTAAGAAAGTCATATTGAGTCTCTTTCTGCCGCCATCTTGGTTCTGCGTTCCCCGTACAAAATGCCCGGTGAAGCCACAGAAACCGTCCCTGCTACAGAGTAGGAGTTGCCACAGCCCCAGGCTGAGACAGGGTCAGGAACAGAATCCGACAGTGAGGAATCAGTACCAGAGCTTGAGGAACAGGATTCCACACAGGCAACCACACAACAAGCGCAGCTGGCAGCAGCAGCAGCTGAAATGGATGAAGAACCAGTCAGTAAAGCAAAACAAAGTCGGAGTGAAAAGAATGCTAGGAAGGCGCTGTCCAAACTGGGACTTCGACAAGTCACAGGGGTTACTAGAGTCACTATCCGGAAATCTAAGAATATCCTCTTTGTCATCACAAAACCAGATGTTTATAAGAGCCCGGCTTCAGATACCTACATAGTTTTTGGTGAAGCCAAGATTGAGGACTTATCTCAGCAAGCACAGCTAGCAGCTGCTGAGAAAGTCAAAGTTCAGGGTGAAGCTGTTTCAAACATTCAAGAAAACACACAAACTCCAACTGTTCAAGAGGAGAGTGAAGAGGAAGAGGTTGATGAAACAGGTGTTGAAGTTAAGGATATAGAGTTAGTCATGTCACAAGCAAATGTGTCGAGAGCAAAGTTGGTTCGAGCCCTGAAGAACAACAGTAATGATATTGTAAATGCTATTATTGAATTAACAATGTAGCCATCTGGGAAAATGAGGACTTTTTTTTGCGTTTCAAAAGAGTAACTGTAGTTTGGTTTGAAATTTGTACTGTTTCTATCATTCGTTAATAAAGTTATGGCTTCTGTTGGATGAAAAAAAAAAAAGAAAGTCATATTGAAAGATAAACTCCACGCTCCTAGTATACTAGCTTTTTAGTTTGTTTTGTTTGGTATTGTTGTTGTTCTTGTTGTGTGCTGTCGAGTTGCTTGCGACTCATAGCGACCCTATGTACAACAGCCCTAAACCCTGCTCTATCCTGTGCCAATTGCACTGTCTCTGACACTCCCATCCCAATTATCCCAGTCACTAAGTCAATCCACCTCATAGAGGGCCTTCCTCTCCTGCGCTGTCCCTCCACCCTCCCAAGCACAGTCTCTCCTCACAACATGTCCAAAGTATGTTAGACGGAGCCTCAGAATCCTTGCCTCCAAGGAGCCACCCGGTTTAATCCTTTCCAGAACAAATCTGTTTGTTTTCCTAGCAGTCCATGGTATTCTCAATACTCTTCTCCAGCACCACAGCTCAAAGGCATCAATTCTCCTTCTACCCTCCTTGGTCATTGTCCAACTCTCTGATGCATAACAAGTGATTGCATAGACCGTGGCCTGTACCAGACTCACCTCAGTCTCCAGAGAGACACCATTGCTCTTTAGTACTTTGGAGAGGTCCCTAACAGCAGACTTTCCCATGGCAATGCGCCTTTTAATTTCCTGGCTGCTGGTGCCAAGACTGTTGACTGTGGAGCCAAGCAAACTAAAGCTGTGTACAATCTCAATCTCTTCACCATCCATCCTGATAGTAGATCATATAGTTTTACAATTCAAAATTAGAATACCAGTCCTTTTCAGCTTGCTAGGATTTCTCTATGCGTTCCATTTTATTTTTAACAACTTCTAGCTTTTGTAGATTCACACTTTATACATTACATGCTCCAATTATGAATGAATGTTTGCAGCTTTTTCTCCTTGTTTTGAGTTGTGCAACATCAGCAAATCGTCTTTCACTGGCTGAAAGCTTTACTCCATTTACGCTATTAAAGTGGATTCTGCTTTAAAGAGGCAGTTCTTCGCCAGTTATTTACTGAGTACCTTCCATCCAGAGGGCCTTATCTTCTGACAGTGTAGCAACAGAGTACCAGTCTAGTTCATAAGATTTTCTGTGGTCAATTGTTTCAGTAATGAATTGTTAGTTCTATCTTAGATTGTTATTGTTGTTGTTTATGTGTGCCTTTGAATTGGAACCAACTCATAGCTGACCCTCCAGGAGGTTTTCTAGACAGATCTTAGTCTGGAAGCTCCACTAAAACTGGTGGATCAGGGGTGACCCTACTGTTATTTGTAGTAACAGCAAAATTGTGCAAAAGCAAACAAAAATTTGAATACTATTAGGCTTTTACATAGGTAAACATTGCATGATTCTAAATCAGGAAAAGAGTGTGTCAGGGATGTGTCCTGTCCCTATAGATTTTCAGTCTATGCAGAACAGATCATTCAGGGGGCAGGACTTTAAAAGAGGAATGTATCATTGAGATTGGAGGAATACTCATCAACAACCTGTGTTATGCAGATGATACAGTCTTGCTTGCTAAAACTGAGGAGGACCTGAAGCACTTGCTGCAGAAGATCAAGGACGAATCTTCAGTATGGATTGAAGCTCAACATCAAGAAGACAAAGATTCTCACCATTGGGCCAATTGGCAGCACCGTATTAGATGAAGAAGAGATTGAGGTTGTTAACAATTATAGCTTGCTCGGCTCCAGAATCAACACTTTTGGTACCAGCAGTCAGGAAATCAAAAGATGATTTGCATTAGGTAAACCTGCTGTCAGGGATCTTTCCAGAGTACTCAGAAGCAACAGTGTCAGTCTAGAGATTAAGGTGTACCTGATCCAGATCATGGTCTTCCTGGTTACTTACTGTGCATCAGAGAGCTGGACAGTGACAAAGGATGACAGAAGACCTGATGCCTTTGAGTTGTTGTGCTGGAGAAGAGTCTTGAAGATACCACGGACCACCAAGAGAACTAACAGGTCTGTCCTAGAGAGGATGAAACCAAGCTGCTTTTTGAAGACAAGGGTTTTGAAGCTCTGTCTTACACACTTTGGGAATGTAACTAAGAGGAACCAGATTTTGGAGAAGGATCTGTCTTGGAGAGAGTGAAGCCAAGTTTCTCCTTGGAGGCAAGGATTTTGAAATTGTCTCACATACTTTGGGCATGTGTCCCAGAGGGACCAATCCTTAGAGAAGGACATAGTGCTCAGAAGGGTGGAGGGACAGTGCAGGAGAGGAAGACCCTGAACGAGATGGATTGATACAGTAACTGGGGCAATGGGAATAGGTGTGTGGGATTCAGTGAGACTGGCTAGGACAGGGCAGGCTTCAGAACTCTTGTGGTAGACGACATGTGATAATACAATTGGGCTTGCATGTAATTATTTTTGTAGGAAATACAGAGGAGAGGAAGATATAGTGATCTACATCAAAAAGAGGCAAAATCCACAGTGTACGATACCACACAACAATTTCCTGATTCTTCAACAAATAAATTGCAAGGGAGTAAAGATAGAGTACATGTAGATTAAAAGTCTTTTAGGACATCTTGAAAAGAAACAAAATCAGTGTTTAGGAATATATACTCAGATTACAAAAGGCCAGCATTGTGGTTGCTTGGGGCTGAGGTAGTGGTGTTAATTCTCTGGGGGTAAGGTAGGTGAGGGGCTTTTGCATGATTGGTCTGGCCCAATTCTCTTCCATGGCTGGTGGTTTTAAGGATTTTCACCTTTAAGCTGCACATCTTATCAGTTTCCTTTCTTTTATATGAATGATAAGCATGATAAATTGGTCAATATGGACACAAGGACAAATATTTCCTGTCACTTTCTTCTCCCATAGCAGAATATAAATATTCAGGAAGAGACAGTTTGATTTTCCTGGTTGATGCATCCAGGGCCATGTTTAAATCTCAGGATGAAGATGAACTGACGCCTTTTGACATGAGTATCCAGGTAAGATTACCTTTTTTTCCACTAATAAACATATATCCCCTTCCCAGATGTGTTGAAACCATATTTTTTTTATTGTGAATTTATTTTTCATTTCAATGAACATCTACAGAGATTTTGAAATTCCGTTCATTGTTGCACCCTTCTCCCCGCCCCCCCCCCCCCC